AGTTCAAACGTTGAAATGAAATTTGAAATCTGCATGGTCTAAATAAAATACACATTGTAAAGTATTGATTGATGTACAGTATTGATTGATGTACTCAGGTATATTTTTCATTTGTCTTTGCCAATATTCAAAGTTTTGTGCTATCTATGCTTCAAACACAATGTTACTATTTTTGAGATCGGGTGTATACTATTCAAATTTAGCCTTAACGTCGTACGAATCATAAGGATTTACAAGCTACGTAGAACTTTGTGATAGTACGGTATGCCCTTAACGTTAATTTATTAATGTCGATAATTGGTTTATAATTGAGATTTTCGGCTTTTTGATTGGTCGATCTCATATTATGTGATACAGTGACAAAAGTGGGATTAACAGTTAAATTCAAAAAATTATTCGATTTTTTAAAGTGAACTTATTTTGATATTTTGATAATACAAGGCTAGCAACACCAGGCAAAAAAATTTCACACATCATGTGATCTTATTGCAAAACCAAGAAAAAAAACTTCGCTAAGAAAAAACATTCCGCTATTAGGTTAGGGTTAGGGTATTACAAGTAGGTTAGGTTTAGAGGGTTATAGTCATGCCAAAATTTTGCAAGGGAAACATTTTATTAATACGCAGAAGGCAGTTTCATAGACAAAATTTCGATTTTTGGATTATTTTAGTTTCTTGAACTTTTTTTACCTTACACCTAATCTCGAAATTTGATTGGCCAGCGAAATTTTTTAGACTGGTATTTTATATGCTGTTTTTTTGATAATTTGATGCTCAAATATTTGATTCACTTATTTAATTTTAAACTTTATTGTAACGATTTATCAAAGCTTTTCAGAATTTCAGTTGAGATTTAACTATACTCCGAAATCGAAACCTTCCAGATTTGTCAAAAAGGAAGGTTTGGAGCTATCCCTATGAAGAAGGTTTTATAGAATTTAAATGAATTATACGGAATAATTAGTATAATTCTATCTTACATATGGAATTCGTTGCAAATTCCGTATTTTATATACGGAATATACTCTGGAAAATGATATTGAATCTATAAATAAATGGCTAAATTTCTTATGCATATTCTGTATATAAATATGGAATTTGCGGCGAATTCCGTGTTACATATGGAATTATACTAAATATTCCGTACAATCATTTAAATTTCATGTAAAACTTTTTTCATAGTGTAGGTATAATATACTCTTCAGAAATTACAAATTTTGATGATTATGATGAAAATATAAAAACTATATGATTTGTCCTTGAGGCATTATTATCATATATAGAAGGAAAGTCATGATAATTAACCAATCAAATTTCATAATTTTTTAAAAAATTCATCTTAATACTGTATTACTACTATAAGAAACGAAAAAAGTAGGTTGTAAATTTAACAAATATAAGAAATAATGAATTAAACTCATGCAAAAGTAGGTAGATACGCGTAAAGTGAGTATTTATTCTACGGTTCTTATTTATAATTCATACTATTTTTTCACACTTATTGCCAGATCTTGAGCTCGGACAGATCCAAAATCTTTATATTTCCTTTATTTGATTCTATATCTTTTTTAATGCTTCTTAAATATTAACGACTTCTTAAAAAAGTCGCCGGGTAAAAAAAAAAAAAGGAAAAAAAGAGAAAGGAATCTCATTATTAATAAATCAACATTTATGAAATACGATGGAAGTATAAAGAACCATGGAATAAACAGTTGTTGCCCACTTCGTGGGCGATAACTATAACTTCTTATTAATAACCCCAAACTTATTAATTAATACAATATACAATAAGAACTGAACATATTATGAATCTTTTTTTCCTATTCAAAATCAAAGTAGTAATAAAATTTTATTTAATTTAATATAATAAGGCAATCTTGAACAAAAACGCTTCCAGTTATTCTACAGTACAATTTAATATGGTTCATAAACGATAAGAATATTTTGTCTTTTAAGAAAGTTCTTCAGAAGTTTGATCTTTTTTATTCTTTTGCACTGTGAACGCTAAACACTTTGTTGACGATATTTGTACCAATTTTTGATTGGGGAAACTTTGTGCCCTTAAAAAAAAATACTTTAAAATGTATAAATAAGTTACGAGCAACTAATTTACACTAGTAAGTTAAACAAATTGCTTTCTAAATGCATTATAATTGTTTTATTGCTTTTATTTGATGGTCTTGAGACCTATAAAATGCATTGGATCCAGTGACACAACGTATGTCAGTTTTATACAGTACCGGACAGCAAAAATTATCCAATTTTTTCCAAAATCGCCAAATTTGAAGATTATATGATCAATTATGATTGGTTGAAAAATTCTAAATAATTTTTTTTATATATTAAACGCCAATTTTTGAAATATATATAAACTTTAAAGCGCTATAACTTTTTAAAATATAAAATCAAATAAAAACCTATAATACCCGAATTGTAGCTTGGATAAAAGGCAACAAATTTGTAAGAGGAATATATTTTGTTCTTGAGTCATTACATTTTTTTAGATTTCATAAATAAATGTTTGATTTCTTTTGCTGTCCGGTACTGTACTAACCAAGACAGTATAATACCTAGTAGACTTCATTATGTTGAGGATGCAGCCTTTAGCATAATATTATTCGGTTAGGTATCTTTTCTTAATTAGCTAACAAAATGTTCAATAGGTTGTGGCGTAATTTTTTCTATAATCCTTTTTTTAATTTTTTTGCACAGTGACCGTTAACACTATTTAAGCTATAGATAACTTTTGCATCGATTTTTTATTAGCCAATCAGCTTCTACCTAGAATAGAGGTCTTTAATCCGATTGGTTGGATGACATTCGTTTGATTGGTTAATGCCATTAAATTGCTTGGGTAACTTATTTATACACTTAAAGTACTTTTAAGAATGCAACTAATATAAATCACTGTTTATAGTCTTAAAGAAGTGTTTGGGTTTACTGTGCAAAAGATTACTACCGGGAACTTGGACTATACATATCGTAGAACTATTTCGGCATTTATTCTTAATATAAATTTCTGTTATTTTTGAAATAACTTAGATTATTCATATCAAAATTTAATGCCGAAATAGTTTCTACGACTTGTATAACTTAGATCATATAAAATTACCAATATAAATAGTGTAACAGTTAATTGGTAACCGAAATGGATTTGATAAAGCTTTATCAAGCTAACCAATGTCCCCATCTCTGCTGATTTTGCCCAATAAGTTAATACCCTATATTAATCCTTTTGATTCCAGTTCCTTCGACATAATAATATCCAATATTATACGTTTCGGCAATAAATGAACGCCTTACGTTCTTTCAATTCTTTCTCATAACAGATTTCAAAGAAAAATATTCCATCAGAATAATATCAGCTAGATTGTTGATAATAACGAATTCTATGTGTTTTATCCTTTTCAACTCATTTACCATAACGATAACAACTTGCAAGAATAATTGGTACTATAGGATCGAATTGATTACCTAAATTGCAACTAATAATGTTAGCTGGTTTCTCATCCTTTATTAGAAATTGTTCTAATATGTCAAAAATTGAAGTGGAGTTTTCGCCTTTCAACCTTTCTTCGTTATAAAGATTGCTTATTCAATTAAAAATTTCGTTAAGATAATCCTTTGGATTATTATCTTCTAGATGCGAGTGGATGACCTTGTTGAATATTTTTTGACTAACATCCAATAAACTGTTGTTTTTTCTGGCTACTTTACAATTGACATTTTGACAGGTATGCATTATATTATCAAATACATATTGTAATATCTAAACTGCTCAATACAGCTAAATTACTTTGCCGACGGATAATGTATATGATCAATAACAAATTCTGCGTTTATACACAAGTTAAATATAAGATAAACTTGAATATTATGGTAAATTGGCAATTATAGGGAAACTAAGAAAAATCTTTACCACTAAATAAAGTTATTCAAAATGCTTTTTTTTACTTACATTCAAATTTTGACCAACTTTTCATGAATCAGCTTTTACATTTTATGTTTTGGCGAAGACGTTTTCTGCGCCAAAACGTAAAACGCAAAGCTGATTAATGAAAGATAACTAAATTACAACAAAATTTGAAGTAATAATAATAATATGTTTTGTACAATGAGTAAAGATCATGTTATTTATAATATTATTTATTTTCTTATTCCACTTTATTATATCAAATTAATACAAAAATAAATTAAACAGTAAATAATCATGAATTTTAATACTAATTTTAATATCAGATACAGTATTTATATTAAATAAATCTCAGAAAATAAATCAAGTTTTCAAGGAATTTTTGCTTTATTTGTGCATCAGAGTTTCTGCCTTTAGTTATTGTTGAATCTTGTTCAAATAATTAACAATTATCCGGCAAATGCAGCAGCATGTTCAGATGACGTAGCCAAATTTTCGATTAATTCACTTTCAACAGCAAATTCAATTTCTTTGAAGTCATCACTTAAATCCTTAATATTTTTAACTTTTTTCAAAGTTGAAACTTCTTCTTTTTCTAGAAATCTATAAGGAAATTGAACTAAATGACCTTTAATATTTTTCAATTCTGAAATTTTATCTGGATCATATACATGGCCTAACGGAATTGTTTTTGGATCAGGAACAAAACTTTGATAATCATCCCATGTTTTAACTATTTGAAATAAAAAAAAAATTAATTTTTAATTAAATAAAACACCACAGGCCTATAAATAAAACAATTACCATCATCACTAGGTAAACAGTGAAAAACATCATTAAAAATCTTTGTATTGTTTTCAGCTATGCCTTTCCAGAAAGCAAAAAATTCATCACTAACAGGGTCTTCTAATTTTTTTTCATCCATTGTTTGAAGATGATGATATCCGTTTTTAATATGTAATGGTGGGGGGTAACTGTAGGAAGTAATTTCAGACAAATGGTTTTCAGAAACTTGAAGCAATCCTAAATGTTCTTTAAATAAATGTCTTCTTAGTGATACTGCAAATCTACCAGCTTTGATCTGTTTTAATAAAATGAACAGAAATGAATATTTGGTTTTAATAGATTTTGTAAAGTAATAAAAGTAATTGAAATTAATGCTTACAGGTTTTCCTGCTAATTTCGAGTCAACTTTATCATTATCCCTAATGATTGCTGCAATTTCTGAATCATGTTCTCCTAACTGTGATCTGTCATTAAGGTTAGCTATAACATAAAAGAATATGTTAATACGTAATATTCTTTAGCGTTAATAAAATGATAAATCACTAAAAATTTACCAGATCCGCAGATAACAATCTGATCATCTACGATCATAAGTTTAGAATGGATATAAATTTGTTCTGTGACAATTGGGTCTTTAATATTACTTATTATTGGATAAAGTTTGCTGCTTAATTTACGGCTCAATTTATCTAAAATTTTATCCTTTGCTTTTTTAACTGCTTCAGAATCGATTTTATCATAAGCACGTAAAGCAAAAAATGATATATATTTCTCCGGATTTTGAATGCCAGCCTGTTTGAGCCTCTCAAAAATTGATCCATCACCACGGCATATTGTGTGGTATTCGAATTCCATCGTTATTCTTGAATAAAAGATTGCGAGATGAATAGATATATAGTTGGACATGAATCCTTTTCTTTTTGTGAAAACGAAACAGTTTGAGCAGGTTATTTACCGTAAAGCTACTGCAGATTCTGCATCGAATTGACCTTCAAAACCTGGAACTAATGGCATTATAACAATAACTCGAAATTTCTCATCATTTTTATAAGCTCTTATAATTCGTTCTATAAGTGCCTGTTAAAAATAAATAAATAAATAAAATAAATTATTTGTTACATCCTTTCTAATAGTGTTTGTAGTCGACATAAATTTATCGGCTCAACTAAGTTGATATTAAAAATCGGCTAAGTCAGTCGATTACTCGTTTTATATTAAACATATATTTCCGAATTTCTCCAGTATTCATCCTTCTTTTTCCGAAATTTATTAATATTTCCTATATTCATAATTCTCGACTCTACTGAGTCGAATTTAAAAATCGGCTGATTTAGTCGACTAAGTCGATTTTATCGACTACACACTATTTTCTGGCGAATACCATAAATGTGTACAAGGTTGGCGGCGAAGACTAAATTCTTAAAATTCGTTAAGGTTAGGGTTAGGTCAAAGTTGGGATCAAAACGGAATAATTTATATAGTAAAATTATTCAACGAAAACTTCTTGTTAGAGCACAAAAGGTAGTTTCTTATGCTGATTTTTGAGCTATGTGCAATTTTTGGCAGAATGAGCGTTTTGTTTGAATCTTCCTGATCGTGTTACGTTACACTAATCTTGAAATCTGATTCGTATTTCAAGAGATCTGTGCCACCAATTTTGTACACATTTGCGATATGCTTTCTGACGATAAAGTAAAAGCAGATGTAATATACTTTTCCAATCTTATTATGAAATACAGAATTATCATCATTTGCTGAAACTATTGAATTTTAATATAAATATGTTAATTATTCATCATCCGTGTATTTATTATATATGGTCCATCTAAAAAAATATAATTACTAAAAAATTGGTTCTCAATGTAAATAAAGTGTTGTGCTTCTGCAATAGTCTGCAAATATGCCTGTTGAATTGAATCCTAAAAATCCCAAATATAAATATATTAGACAAACAACTATCATGAATGAAAATCAACGCGTATTTATCGAAAAAAATACTTTACTTCGACCTCAACTCCATGACTCCACCTACAAGCACTTCTTAAAATCTGCACAGAACAAGTACCTTTCGTAGTATCAACTTCTGCAGTTTCATTAAAGTAATTATATGATCTAATATCTTCTTCTGGGAATTCATCATTTTCTGTTTTTTTTAAAAGTGGGTGCAAGCATCTTATATAGTAATTTACTACGTTTCTAGATTTAATGTAGTTCCAACGTTCTATAAAATGATTTGCGACATCCACCGCTGGGGATCCAGTCTTTGTTACAAGTCAGTAAATGGAACGTTAATATACTGTATAAAAAAAAGAATGTGTATTATTAATGTTCTTTTAAGAAAACTTTAAACTTACGAATCCAATAGATATGTCATGCCACGGCATACGAGCCGAGACATCCTTAGAAATCAAAGTAATTGCCCATTTTTGAACTAGAAAAGTAAATTCGATTTTATGTAAAATAAAAAAAAAAACAAATTTGATAATAACTTAGTCTAAATTATACCTTCGACAAAGTCTTTAATCCTAACATTATTATAATCTTGACCAGGCCAAACTTCAGAAAAATTTGCGAATTTCGGAAAATCTGCTAATTTGTGAGCATGTGTGTCATACCGACCAAAACACAGATCTAATCCACCGATGAAGGCTGTATTTCTATCGATGACTACTATTTTCTTTTTAATCGAAATTAAGACACTTAGAATAAGAGCATATATAAAAGTTTCCAGATTAGATACGTACCTCGTGATGCTAGTAAGCATGAATTATCGTATGAACAATAAACTCCGTGAGCTCTTTTAAGAAGAAAACAAACAATCAAATATCCACATGTATAAAATATTAATATTTACGGTCCAATATGCGGTAGGATCTCTATCTGGATGTTTAACATATTCAGCATTCGGAAAAATACTATTCCAAATCAAATGAAACCCCCATTCGGCATTTGCAAGAAACCCATTTTCAGCATGTCTAAACACTAATCAATTAGAGATTCACGTATGAGGATATTTTACCATTTTTATTCGCTTATCATTATGAAAGGAATAAATAGAATCGCCTTTTTTACCCTTTATATTTTTATGGTTTAGCGCAAGTTCAGCGTGTCTAGAGTTCAAATACATAATGGCCGAGATCTCATCGTGCAAAATTACATAAATCTTGACACCTTCACTAGCCTTTTTCTTTAATAGATAATCAAGGCGATATTCTTTGTTATGTGCAGGGGGTCTTCTAAGATACTATTATTTTTATGTAAACGTTATACATCAGATTTACAATTTTCAAAAATTTCGTAACTTAATTTTAATAAAACTTGAAATTCGACCAATCGAAGAAAATTCGAGCATAATTAAGTTATCCGAGTTACCCGACAAATTGTCATATATTCTAACAATAATTTCTCATGGTTTAAATCCTAATAAAATGCACGTACTAGTTCTGGAGAAAGCCACCAATCTTCAATAAAAATTTCTTCTTCTGCGGCCATTAAAGCTTCTGACACTGCATAAAAATAATCCTTTCCATCAACATACCATTTAACATGAGCATTTTCTTTAGGACTTGCAAATGAACCATAAGGATTCTGAGTCATCGCTAGAATTACAAAATGTTACTACAAAAAAAATTCGAATTCCGAGTTAACAGAAGTTCTTTTAAGAAGTTTTTTTATTGCCATTGTATTGAGCATTTGTTTTCTGTAACATTACACACAACCAACCAGACATCTAATATGGATTGTATGTATAAATACAATATTACACGAATCTCAAGCCTTTTGCTCAAACATCAAGTATTCCAATGATATCAATAATAATAAATATTTACATTATCAATAGGGATGGGATCGGCTTAAAGTGAGCCGGCTTAGCCACGACTTTTTAGCCGAGCTGACAAAACCGCTTAATCCGTATCATGTAACATGCTGTAGCATAGTAGGCTTTCTTTGTGAGTGGATAATAGACCGGATTTATCAATAAAATTTTTACTATATCACGGGATGATATACAAAAATTGGTCAATCACAATGGATGCCGCTTTAGAGTTTACGCCTTTCGGAGGTTTAATCCCATTTCTTCATAAAGTTCTGAATGTGTTACGAGTAATTCTACGGATCCTTTGATTCCTTGAATTTGTTGTTATAAATCACCAATATCTATATACGATTCTGTAGGTAGCTTTCTCAAGTTTAATAACACTAACCATTGGATCAGTATCATCTTGAAGTACACCGACAACAGACATAGCCTATTAGGTGTATGTGTTAAATAAGTAGGCCAATAAAAAAAATACGCGTTTTTGTATATACCTTATGATGTACGTAACAAAATTGAATATCCTGACTCTAATAAATCTTTATCTACAAATGATAAGATGACTGACATAATATTCTGGTCCCGTAGGCATGATCATCGTCAATGATTTCTTCTGGAGATCCACACCTATTGGGGAACCACGTAAACCACCTGAGTTCTTTCTTCCTGATAATAGTCAACATTATCATTGTCAAAAATATATTTATAATATAAAAAATTACGAAAATTTATAATTGTACACGGAGTGTATGGTACACGAGTATTAATTTTATTAATTCTGTAATTTTTACGAACAAAAATCAAACCATTGCTTATGATTAGGGTAAGGGTAAGCTAGGGATTGCGGTGAGGTATAGTTTATATCAAAATTTTGCAAGATTTTTTTGTTAGAAGCAATAAGATGGTTTCATGATGGGAATTTTGAGATATCGACTGGTTTTGATATCGCCCGGGTACATACACCCCGTGTACAAACAGTAATCGTCAAAAATTATAATGAAATAAAACAGATACTTGTGCTTTTTCTTATGGCTTTAATCTTTTTTGATTTTGAACAAACTCTTTCCCCATCAGTAAATAATCTTTTATACGTTCCATTTCAATCGACACCGCGTTGTAGGAAAGATTATCAAAGTTAAGTGATCGTCAAGAAAATTGGACAAGCATCTCACGGAAAAATATATGAAATTATTCATGGCTAATATACCGGCAGTTAATTTAGACGTTGCATCAGGACCTCCGTTTTTTTTTTTTTTACCAACACGAGTTGAAAGTGGTGGTTCCCATTTCTTTTTCTTAACTTTATGAATTAATGCTGAAAGGAATAACAAAAGTATGATGACAAAATAAATAAATAAAGTGCAGATTAACATTAAATTACATTCTGATGTTTTAACTGGGCAATCTTCACATGGGTAAGGAAAGCATGACACCAAACCTGCAACATTTCATTACGGACCCGTGTTCTAACCGTTAATCATATCACAGCACCACTCAAATCATCTTTAGACATTACAAATTCGTCAAGATCCTTATTATCAGATAATGTCATTCTCCCTGTATGAATATTAAAAATATGACATTTCATTTTTATGTCTGGAAGTGGAAATTCTATCTTTCGGTCAATACGTCCTGGGCGAATCAGAGCAGGATCTAATGATTAAATACCATGATGACCTTTATAAACATAAAAAATCGAATTAATAATTTATTTACATATTAATATAAACAGGAAAATTTTACAAGCTAGTTAACCTTGACATCTTCTCTAGAATCAAACCCGTCTACCTGATTCAAAAGTTCTAATATAGTTCTTTGAATTCTCTTTCATTACCTAAATTGGAATTATATCTATAATTAAATGATGTCAAATTTTTTTTTTTTTTTTTTAAAGAGAGGTCTATCCTCTATCTCTTTTATTAATTAGTTAATTATACATATATGTAAGATACATGATGAAAAAACTATACTAGGGGAGATGGAGATAAGAGCTACTTTACTCTCAACCTATTCTTTGCTAGAATGGTTGGTAAACCTCTAGTCTTTGATAAGCTGATGAAGAGAAGATTGTCCATGCATAATATAGAGTTGTATCTTTTTATTTAATGTAGAATGTGAAATTAGTGTAGTTTTAATTAGAGTTGGTGATTGTATCAGAGGTGGGATTGGAATAGCTGGTTTGTGTTGTATTGCTCTAAAAGTGAACCAGATATTTTTATATATTGCTGAAATAATGTTATGATGAATAAGGAGTGTATATTTATGTTTGTACTTATTGTTTTCAAATGGTACTAAAGTTATTATTCCCAGTGACATTTGTTTGTTGATATGGTTGTAGGTAAAAGCTTAAATAAATTTTCTTGTATTATTGCAGTGTAATTCTAATTTGTTTGCAGTTTCAATCAATATATATTTTATTTTTTTTTATTTTTTTTTTTTTTGGAGTTAAGGTGAGGTTTTGCTCATATCTTTATTAATTTGTTAAAGATGCCTTTAGGTGCTTCTTTGGATATAAATTACAAAATCTATTCCAATTACAAATTTGTTACAAGAGTAAAGCTCAGACTATAGAAAGAA